ATAAATTCAAATAAACTGAAAATATATTATAACCAATTTAAATATAATATGGTTCATTGCCTGGTACCAACGACTTTTGCAATTCAACCGGAGGCCAAAAAAGTCACATCCGTACTGTGTAGTTTCTCGCCAGTGCACTGCCACTTTTTCAAGGCACTCTATTTCATGAATTGGCGAACTATGCATAAACGGGATCATTTTTGAATTCATGAAATGAAGAATTTTTTGAATTCTGTCGCATAAACGTAGTAACATTAATGTAATGTACATTTACGATTCGATACGATACAAGGGTTCTGGTACTCGATTCCAAAAACTATCGTTTGAAAACTATCGAGTAAAAAGTATCGGTATCGAATGGCAAAAACATCGATTTGGTATCATATCATATCGAAATTCGTGTCTCTACGCAAGAGATTTGTTTATTTCTTAACTATATTTAGGAGGGTTGCCAGCTGTTTCAGATGTCTTAGCTAACTTATGCACACCTCCGAAGAAGAAGACAATGCGAGGACGAGCACGAATACGATGGAGAATACTAATACGGCCTAGGCTAATATAAAATGCGATACAAATTTCAGCAGCATATAAGGAAATACAAATTAATCGAAGTAATGATACATGTCATGTCATATGTATGTATGTACATATGTCTATTTATAAGCTCATCATACATATGATTGAAGTTAATGTGGACCTGCTTCTCTATCGCTAGTTAATTATTAATATTTTGCAATTCATATTGATTTACTAAATTTAAGGCAATACAATCAAAACGCATATTTCATGTACCTTCTTCTTCTTCTTTTTTGGCGCTGTAACCGCCTAAGCGATTTTGGCCGAGTTTAGCAAAGCACGCCAGTCGTTTCTCCTCTGTGCCAACTGACGCCAATTGGAAACGCCAAGTGAAGCCAAGTCCTTCTCCACCTGATCTTTCCATCGCATTGGGGGCCTCCCTCGTTCTCTGCTACCACCAGCGGGTTCCGAGTTGAATACTTTCANCGTCATTTTACACAGCCGTATGAGTTTTGAGGGGATGCCAAATTCAGACATAGCGGCGTATAGGCAACTCCTTTTAGTGCTGTCAAAAGCGGCTTTAAAGTCGACAAATAGGTGGTGAGTGTCGATCCTTTTCTCGCGGGTCTTTTCCAAGATTTGGCGTATTGTGAATACCTGGTCTATGGTGGATTTGCCAGGTCTAAAGCCACACTGATAAGGCCCAATCAGTTCATTGACGGTGGGCTTCAGTCTTTCACACAATACGCTCGATAAGACCTTGTAACCTATGCTTAGAAGGCTGATCCCGTGGTAGTTGGCGCGAATGGCGGGGTCACCTTTCTTGTGGATTGGGCAGAGCACACTTAAATTCCAGTTGTCGGGCATGCGTTCATCTGACCATATGCCGCACAAGAGTTGATGCATGCACCTTATCAACTCCTCGCCGCCGTACTTGAATAGCTCAGCTGGCAGGCTGTCAGCTCCAGCGGCTTTGTTGTTTTTCAGCCGCATTATTGCTATACGTTTACCGTACCGTTTTAACTTGAATATGATCTTAATGATATCACGTATTCTACGTTTAAGTTTAGCATGCGCTTAAAAATATGGGCAAGTAATAAAATCACTCGCGTTGAAATGATTTCCACAGAACCGCAACTTCGTAACTAAGCGCCTTAAAGTATAGCACCACTTTAACGTACATATTGGCTATTGCCACACACAATGCAACGCTCGTAGTTCCTTCTCCTTTTCATTTTTGTATATGTACATACATATTTACATACATATCTATAAATGCATGTGGTCGAAAACAGAAAAATTCTCACAATTCAAAACTATATCAAAGCATGCAATTGAAAATTAGAAAATGTCAAAATCACTTCTACCTTGTTTAATATGCCTTGTTTGAAATAAAATATTGGTTTGACGTTGTTATTTTCATACAGATATATGGCCTTATTCATAAAAAATAAAATAGGTTTAAAGAGCTTTATAAATTGACGATTTCATACATTTTTCAATTTATAAACCTTTTATAAAGCTACTTTATTTTTTATGAATAAGGCCAATAGTAGAGAACTACAGGAGTAAAAACCATGGCCCAATTGGAACTTTTGGATAAGCCTTTTTATTGAAAAGTAAAGTTGATAAGTGTTGCACTTTTTACTTATTATAAAAAGCTTATCAAAAGATGAATAACTGACAAGTTTTTTGGATAAGTCGATTTGATAACCATTGCACAGCCAATTTCTTTTGCTTTTCAAATGAACAGCTTTTCCAATAATGTACTTAGCAAACCCATGTGCGATTTGATAAACATTTTTAATTTATCTTTTTTTCTTACTATGTCGCAAACACAAAGCCAAGCCTATAAATTGGCTGCCTTAAAAATTATTAAGGCAAAAAGTTAGTCCCCCTTGACAATCATATGTTTGTTTATACAAATAACTATATTTTTCTACATTTAAGGATTATTTATTTGGATCTTTCCAAAATAATTCAGTAACAAAAACACAAAAACCACATTGCATTAATTGAATGATTTCCGTACCGGTTAACAAATTGGTACTCAGTAGCCTTAGGGGCGTCTCTATATTTATCATAGTTCCATCAATGCACCCTGCGACTTAAGGAAATCCACCAATGCACATTAGGTCAAATGATACATTTGGCTGTGCGAAAGTCCAATTTCGTAAAGGCAGTTTTACATTATTTTTTGTTGCCATTCTGTAGGGAATACTCCAAAATAACAGAAATTTCACTTAGTTTTTGTAAAATAAAAAACACCGTTATACAGCACACACATACACAAAGTTATGCGGTAACATACATAAAAAATAAAATAAAAATAAAAAAAAAAATATTCCGACGAACTGATAGCCTCCTCCTTTTTTGGAAGTCGGTTAAAAATAATAAATTACCTAAATGTGTACAAGTATGTCGAGAAATCTCTAAATAAATAGTAGGGATGCTGTATCTCAATAATAACAAGTAATTTTAAGCAAAAAATACAACCGACTTCAATGCGTACTCCGATCGTTCTGGTTACGAAGACCCGACTGCCCTCCCTTTTTTAAAATCGGTTAAAAAGAACCAAATGCATATTTAAAGATTTTAAGTAAAAATAAATAAAGGGAAACTTGTTCGTGATATCTCGACCAAGGTGTATTCATGATACAAAAATTTGATGGTAAAACCGCTAAGAGGCAGCCTGAAAATTTTTGAAGTTTGCTAACACACATAAATACTCATTTTCAGTCTCAAATAAAAGAAATCTTGAATACTTTCATCTATTTGCTTTTTGATTTACTTTTGTTTGGCATTTGTGGCTGTCAGAGTTTCAATTTTATAAAGTAGAGAAACCTAAACCTGGCCGACGAATATAGCGAGCGGTTTTACCTTTAAATATTTGTATCATGGGTGTATTAAACAACGCGTTATTGACAACTCAGTGCGGCTCTCTTTTAAGGCACTATTATGTCAAAAAATATGAATAAACGGTTAAAAATTCATAAATTTTTTTTCAAATTTAACTTTATAGGATGGTTCTTCTGAGAGCAATGTCAAATTCAATCACACCTTGTTAAATACATTTTGATCTCTACCAAATAATATACTTCTTCTGTAAATATTTTATGAAGTGTTCCAAAATTCGCTCCAATCGTTTGTCATTCATTCACTAGTGAAGTTTGATCGGAGTTTATATATTCTTCAGTATTTAAGCATATTACATTATACAATATAAACGTATAATATGGTAGAAAGTTAGAAATTATTTAGTCTTAATATGCATAATTCGCTCCGTGTTCCGAAATTCGCATCGAGTGCGTTCACGATTGATCATTTGATTTAAATAATTGGTTTTCAAGCATTCAGTACTACAGTTTGATCGGAGTTTATATAGTCTTAAGTAATTGATCACATTTTTTTTTAATATAAGCCTATAATAGGGTAGAAATTGTGAAATTATTTAGCTTTAACGTGTATAGTTGGCTAGAGACAATTGCAGAAAACTGCAACTACTCGTGAAAACATACAATAAAAGTAATATAGATGAAAGTAGTAAATATTATTATTAAAATTAGATCCATATATAAAACATTTTACACCATTTAATTGAAGTAAATCGGAATATATTTTTACATATAACATAGTTTCCATTTATCTCATAAAGTACATATTCATTACAAATATTTTTAAGATCACTTCGAATTGCAAAAATATCGCAAATTAGTTTTATTGAAGTATAAAATATTTTGTTACCATTTATCTGATGTTAAAATTTTAATAGTTATTTTGTTCCAAATTCAATTTTTCATGCAGAAACATACAATTTAATTACATAGCTGATATTTTTAAAGCTAAATATGTAAAATCCACAGCAATTTTGACTAGTAAAAAAGCAGTACAAAATTGTTTTCTTGGCGTTCATTGTGGCATATCTTTTGGCCATCTGGCGCTTTGCTGGCGAAGTTATAAATGTCACGCAAAGCCACAAAGTTTTTTCTGGCATCAGCTTTATGCTCAGAATGTTTGTCTTAAAGGCTGTTCGCACGAGGCGATTTTACAGGCAACAAAAGTTGAATGAGAAGTTGAATAAGAAGTTGAATGTGAAAAAGTTGCCACCCCTATTCAGCACAATTGTTGTTTACATTATTTAAAATGAGTTTAAATCGGAAAATTTTATCAATTGGCGTAAATTTGGTAAGCCAAGCGCTGGTAGAAGTGCTTTTAGCGAAGCTGAAAGATAAAATAAAATTAAAAAAAAAATACATAGTTTGAAAAACTAAGAACTCGCTTTCCATAATTCCAATTCGCACTGTTATCAAGTGTGTAACTTGAGAAGGGAAACCCCTGCGTCTTTTAGGCGCATCAATATTACATAGTTACACCCCAAGCTGATAAAAGTGATGTAAAAAAGCGGAAATTCTGGGTGCGCAAGTGGATCCGAAGGCGTGCAGAATTGCGTGCATCTAATAACTTATACCGGGAGTTAGCATCCGATGACCCCTGCACAGTTCGAGGATTTGCTTGCAAAAGTGGCGCCGCTAATTGAAAAACAGGACACAATAATGCGTGAGGTACTTACGCCTCGAATAAAGATTCAAATAGCTCTCAAGTTTTTGGCCACAGGCGACAACTATTTAAGCCTGTCAGCCAGCGACCTTTCGAGTACCAAGGTCGACTATATCTGAGCTCCTAGAGGAAGTGCTTGATAGCATATATGCTGTTCTGCAAGAGCATATTCAGGTAAATATAAGCAGGTTTAGTTTTACGGTAATCGGTGAAAGTGAAGCAGTGCGACCAGAACGGGCTGTATAAAATCTGGGGTCGGTAGTAAATATATCCATGGTATGATGGACTATTGAAATTTTTTTGTATAAAGTTTGAGGCATGGTTGGTTGGTGGTTCATTGAAGTGGCGAGTTTAACAACTACTCCTCATTTAAACTGAAATAATTGGAGAACTGGGTTAGTGTCACTTACGTCTGTTACATCGCAGTAGCAGGGTTTTCCTAGAAGCCTCGTAGTTGTAGTCCTACATGGGGTTGGGATATCACAGAGAAAATTATCCACTGTTTATTCTGCATCTGGTGTATTACAGCTACGGCAAGAAGTGTTGTGTTGCAGTCCTAGTCTTGCAGCATGGATTCTCACGACCCAGTGCCCTGTGTAAACATCGACTCCATGCATATAACACGGTGTCGGTAACGTCGATAATGATGTTTAATTCGAGATAAGTGTCAACCAGGGTTTGATCAAATGGCCCTTAGGCCCGTTTTCACCACTCTGGTTAACCCTAATCCCCAGTTAAACATCGTTATCGACGTTACCAACTCCATTCAATTAACCTTGAGGGCCAGTATAATTTGGTTTCCGTTTCACTGAATTCTCATAAAACTTCCAAATAAAATAATTACACCCTTTATTTAATTTTTTATACTAAAAATATTTTTTATTTATTCATTTATATAAGAAATATATATTTTTATGAAATATATACAGTCAGCGTGAAAAATATGTATGCCCTGACGTTTTGACGATTTTCTTTATATATATGTTCCATACCAGTTTTGTTTGGTTTCTTTTTTTTTATAAAAATCAAGTTCAGTCAACAACAAAAACCATTGGAATAACTTTTTAAATTTCATATAAAACTCGGAGAAAATTAAAGAAATACCAAAAAATTGCATACCTACTAATTTTCAATTTTTTAATTCGATTTCTTAGAAAAATTTTGGGTACGCAGTTTTTATGCATTAAATTTTAGCATTATAAGTGCAGTTTCGAAGTCTCTAAAAACTACCGTTGATTTTTGAGAATTTTTTTTGTCGAGGTTGTTGCGCATTTTCTTCGATATTACGCATGAAAAAAAAATCTATTTTTTTACCTTCCTTTTATTAGCTCGGGATGTAACTATGTAATATTGATGCGCCTAAAAGATCCAACGATTTCTATTCTCAAGTTACATACCTGATGACAGTACGAATGGCAATTATAATAGGGAGGTTTTAGTTTTTTAAACTATTATTTTATTTATTATATGGAGACTTCGAAATTGCACTTATAATGCTAAAATTTAATGCATAAAAACTGCGTACCCAAAATTTTTCTAAGAAATCGAATTGAAAATTTGTACGTAAATTTTTTGGTATTTCTTTAATTTTCTCCAAGTTGTATATGATATTTGAAAATTGATTCTAATGGTTTTTGCTGTTGACTGAACTATATTTTATAAAAAAAAACTAAACAAAACTGGTATGGAATATATATATAAAGAAAATCGTCAAAACGTCAGGGTATTCATATTTTTCACGCTGACTGTATACATGAATATTAAAAAAAAAGTTTCAGAAGTATTCGGCTTCTTGTTGGTCAAGCGTTTCCACTTCTATTGTATCCTGTATGAAGAAACTGTCGTCAAGAAACGCATCGTCTTCATATACGTCCTGTGTTACGCTAGAGCTTTGTGGCGTATATGTACGGTGACCATCCGTTCTGTTTTTTGCAGGACCGTATTGTTATTTAAAGGTCTGTCCTGCGTAGTTTTTCAAAACAGAAAACCCCCAAAATGTACTGATTTTTTCCAAGTGTCCTGCCTTTGTCCCGCATTTTCTTCGATATTTTAAAATTAACTTTTCCTAATCGAAATCAAAGCAGTGTCGATAACTAATTGATAACTACATAAGGGTAAGCTGGTTTTGAAGGTTAAACTAGTCAATGCGTTCTAAATATTGTACGGTTATGGACAATCAATTCAAGACCAGCATCAAATATATCGATAACACTGTTCTACAAATTTTGTGGTAATCGCTTAAGAAAAAAAATATTTTCCAAGCCAATTTTCCTTTCAACCAAGCGTTTTCGTAATTTTTTCGAAAAACGTGTTATTGGTACATTTCGAACCTATTCGTCAATATCTCATGAAAAAATTATCCAATCAACATAAGCGACCTACAGTCCTCTTACAAAAATATATTCCTTTGCCGATTTCGATGAAAATTATTAGTGTTACAAGCGACCAAAATCGAAAAATTGAAATTTCAATCATTTTCTTTTTACAGTAAATGAAAATCTGATGAGAAATGTAGATGTTACGGAACACAATCTGCACAAAAAATATATATTTTTGCAAAGAGCCCATCAATACCTTTCGAACTGTTGGTCGTTTCATGAGATATTGAGGAATAACTGAAAAAGTACTAAAAATACGTTTTTCGAACAAATCTCGAAAACACTTCTTTGAAACCATGGGTATTTTTTTCGTGTTCAACGACCCAAAGTTTGCCTAAAAAATTTGCTTTACAGAGGTTCATATTTCGTGTAAAGTAATATGTAATATGCCTTATTATAATTTTGTAAATATTCATTACTAAAAGATTAATACCAATGAAGCAAATGTGATTTATGTTTAAAGTTTAAAATTGGATTAATAATTAAGAAATATACACTCTTCGTTATTTGAATAGCGCATCCTTTTAATACTTAGTAGGTACAGTTTTCCTTTTGTTTGTTTAATATTCATTAACTTTTTATAAAAATATAGCATATTCTACGTCTACATTCCATTTAAAAAATTTTTGAAAATTAAAAAAAAAATAAAGATAGGGGCGACAATTTTTTTGGTTGACGGTGTTGCGCATTTTCTTCCATATAAAAATTTTGTCAAGCATACTTTGTATGGTAGAAAATCAAAAAAAGGGTGCGCTATTCAAATAACGAGGAATGTATATATGTAGTATATTTTTGTTATTTTTATACTACGCAATTATATGTAGGTAAATTTTTTGAAAAATTGTCCTGCATTTTCAAAATATATTTATGGTCACCGTACGTATATGTGAAATATTTTCCCGATTCAGAGCTCTCTGGTCGAAAATTATCCACTGCTGCAGCTCTCAATATTTTTAGGCGACGTTGAGCCAAATAGTTGCTTATAAAAGCCTGCGAAGAAATCGCTTCTTCCAGAGGCATATTTCGTAACTGGTTTGCTACGTGACTCCCGAGTACCTCAAACTCGTCCGGCTCTTTCGTATTCGATATGTTTTCCAATTTTGTCACCGCCTCCAAAATTGGTTCAACATCCTGCGACCGGTGTTTTGCCTGTGTGGTACTTTTCGCTCTTTTAACCTGGAAGAAAGTCTGTGAAATGACGCATCACTTTCCCTGGCGTCCGTCTGAAATAAAAAAGAAAAATTAAAAGATACTTATATATACTCATATTTTTATATTTTTATTTCAGGTTCCTAATACAACAGAGCAATGGTTACAGGTGCAAAAGGATTTCAATGATAAGTGGCAGTTCCCTTTCTGTTGTAGCGCTATTGACGGGAAGCACGTTGTAATAGACAACCCACCGCATGGAGCATCGGATTATTATAATTACAAGGGTACTTTCGTCGTAGTGCTATTCGCCATAGTCGATGCACACTACCATTTCTTGTATATTGATGTCGGTACGAATGGGCGCATGAATGACGCCAGCATTTTCAAAAAGTCGCATTTTTATAAAGCACTACAGGAGTTGAGGATGAGTTGGGATTACCAACTAAGGGTGTCTTCGTTGGCGATGACGCGTTCCCCTTAACAACAAGGATCATGAAGCCGTATTCCAGGCATTATGCATTGCCTCGCAAGGAAAAGATTTTCAATTACCGGCTGTCGAGAGCTAGACGAATCGTTGAAAATGCCTTTGGAATAATGGCTTCTAGATTTAGAGTTTTTCGAAATCCGATATCTGTGTCCCTAGACAAAACCGACTCAATAATTATTACGGCATGCGCTCTCCATAATTGGCTCCGAACAAGCAATTTAAGTAAACTGGTTTAGTCGATCAGGAAGACACAAACACAGGAGCAGTTTACCAAGGAAGTTGGAGAAGCATTCCTTCAGGTGCCTTAGAAGAACTAACCACGCAATTGTCTTAAAGCAACTACTCTAGAAGTGCAAAGGAACTACGTGACAAATTCGCAAACTATTTTGTCGGCTCAGGAGCTGTTCCTTGGCAAGACGAAATGGTTCCTTAAGCCATCAAGCTTTTAACTTTTTCTTTTGTTTTTTTAATGTTGATATTTTTTTTAATATAGCTCATTTACTAGTATAAACCATATAAGTTTAAATTTACACGTTTGTAGAAAACTAACAAACAAAAAAACTGTTTATTAAGAATTGCTAGACAAATTCTTGATATGCAGCTTTATAGCCCATTAAATTCTGGCTTCAAAACGTGTAGGTTTCAAGTGGCTAAAAATTCGCGTTGATTTTTGAAGCTACAATTTAATGGGCTATACATATATATAAGTTGTATATTTAAACTTATATCGCTAGCTTAGAAAGAAAAGTTGCTAAGTCCCATTTTAAAAATTTTACAGGAGAGGAAAAAATCTTCCTATAGTCATTTTCTTTAACTATTTCGCAAGACTTTGAATCAAACATTTTGCGCGTTTAAAGCAAAGCAAAACTCCATAAGAATCAGAAGGATTCGATATTTATTAAAAGATGTCGTATTATTTTGGCCTTATTGGATTTGTGCTGCTTCTTTTGGACTTAGCAAATTTTCCTTCTATTGCTTATGAAGAGGAAAAAATAAAACAAGTACCTTTATAATTTTCGAAACGAAAATAAAAAATACCAGCAGTGTGTTGAATTAATTAAGTAAAAGTGTCTTTTATCCACTGGACCTCTTCCATTGTCAAAGGTATTCAAAATTTCTTGCGCATATAACTCCGACTATGCCGTCCACAGTGTATTTGCGTAGAACTCGTTGAATTTATTAATTAATTAGTGACTGAAAAATATAAAATCAAGTTTTAAAATAAAGTTTGGACCTTTGACTACAAGAGCATGTACAATTTTTTGCATCGGATCAGCCATTCGGAAACAATAGTCCGAAATCATTGGGCAAATAGCTAAGCAGTATCCGTTATTTGTATTGCATATTATTATTATTATTGATATTAATGGCTATTTATGACATGCAACACCCGTACCGCAGGAAATGCCCATAGATTGAAATATATTTAAAAATACTTTCCATATTAGTTTTTGATGGCCTTCCTTCGGCAACTGGCTTCAAAAATCGGTCCGCCACCTCGAGCCATGACAGCCTTGGGACATATCGTCGTTTAAAGTACAAAACCGCGTATCGTCATTCTGCAAAACCGCGTAACTGACATTGGCTGCCAAAAATTGGATTTGCTCACTCAAGCTCTTGGCTCAATCCTTATCCATTCGTCCTGAAATATACTATCCAGAAATGCGATTGCTTTATAAAAAAGAGAACCATTTTGAAATATGAGTGTTTTTACGCTCTAGAAAACAATTTCAACAACTTCACATACGCGGTTTTGCATTTTGCTGATACGCGTTTTTGCATTTTGTTGATACCCGGTTTTGCACTTTAAACGACGATATATATCGTCTGTGTCCATGGTGAAATGAACTGAAGGTGGCGCATTCCCGAAACCGCTACTTTGGTTTTGCCGGCTTTGACATTTATGGCAATACGTAAACAAACTTTTTGTTTAGAAACAAGTGCAAACGTATTGTGTACTTTCAAGTGAAAAATCGAAGTAATTCGTGCGTTCTGAAGTAAAAAACGTTTTATTTGTAATAAAAACTTTATAAAAATGTCGTGTCGTGTGTTGAATTGCAGCAGCCGTAGGGGTAAAGCCCCCAAATGCAGTTTTTTTTTGTTTCCCCGCGACGACGCCTTGGCCAGAAAGTGGGTAGAGTTCTGCCGGCAGGAGAAGCCATAAAATTTAGACACCAGCGTAATATGCATGAAGCACTTTACGAACCACTTTTAAACACGACATGTTAAGTTGAAAACGTTGAAATACCACAAATTACAAATTAAAATCGGAGGTAAGCAAGCATCGACCACTTTCTGCAGGAAAACATGCGCTGCGACAAGATATTATCACTTTTTCGGCACCTGCAATACAAACACAAAAATTCTAAATAGTTAATTAATAAGACCTATTCTTTTGAACACATTTCAAGAGTGGTTGTATATTTTTTGTTAAGTGCTTAATTTGCTATATTCAAAGAAGACTTGAGAAGTTGGTGAATCGAGAAGAAAACACGTTTTCTCACTGCAAATTCACAACTGTCAACTCATTGTTCTTCGCCATACTCTTTGTTTACCCGTTGCCACAAATGTCATTCTGCGGGAATGCGCAATCTTGTATTCTATCGTTCTTGGTCTGTGTCAGCCCCACTCGTTTTAGACGATGCCACTTCGGCTGCTTTCCTTGTGTACATCGTACGCAAGCTTTTAATTTTCCCCTTTAGCTCCTCCGTGGACAGGGTTAGCGCCAACTCCTGCTTCAGAGCATTCAGAGCTGCTGTCCGAAATGTATTATTTTTATTATATAATTTATTTCGCGGATCCTACATGGGTGTATACTTCCAGAAAAGCAATCGCATTTATTTTATTCATTTTAAATTATTATGGCTGAATTTCTTCAGCCCAGATAACAAATAGAATGAATGGAATAGATTGTAGTTTATCCATGATGGAATGAATAAAGAAACAAAAAAGAATGATACTCACGCTTGTCAGCTTTTTATGTCTGTAAAAAATTAAAAGAAAATCAAAAACATACATATGTACATACAAAATGCCAGAAAACCTTAATATTTCGTTGATTTTTGCTAAAAAAATCGCATTTCATTTACTTTTCGAAAGTAGCGAAAGTGAGGACAGTGATTACGAAGGCGGTACACGAAGAAAAGTGGAAAAAAATATGTGATATTACGAAAAAGTTATCCCCAATTTTGATGAGCTACAATTTCTAAGACATTTTCGAGTACGTAGAGAAACGTATGAACGTCTATGTCTCTTAATACAAGATGAACACGGCGTTTACGCAAATCATCATTCCGGGCAGCCAATGATTTTCATAGAAATACAAATCCTGATAACCTTGTGGTATCTGGCTAATATGGAATGCTTTAGGTTGATACAAAAGTTAAAAAAATAAACTGTTTTGTAAAACGTTCTTTCCAGGTCAATCGCTGATAGATTTGGTGTATCCCCAAAAGCAAGTTGGTCAGCAGTTACATTTGTATGCAAGTATTTGCTCAAAATTAACCGCGTTCTTGGCATAATTTCCTGGCCGACATCTGAAGAAGCACAAAATACTGCATCGTATTTTGAGGAAAAAACCAGATTTCCAGGTATACATACATATGTATAAACATATATTGCAAAATACAATTTTTATCAGGGACCGTAAATAATGATTATTTTTTTAAATTTTTACTCAAAAACATCATACTAAGGGTAATCACAATCCGTTGCATATGGTCCTGCCTTTTGAATTTTGGTGCATTTGGAAATTCACAACAATAAAATGCAAAGTGTTGCCATGGTAGCAAGTATAATATTTGAAAATGCAAGACCATATGCACCGGATTATTATTGCTCTTACTGAAATGCTGCGTACATACGAGGTACATCATCATAATCCTTGTCACAAGGACTACCTTTAGCAATAAGTAAAAGTCAAAACACAAAAATAACTACAAAAATACATTTGTTTTAAATAAAAGTTATAATCGTTACGGTCCTTGGTTTTGAAAGCAATATCAGTGCGAAACCATAATAATAATGCACTTTTTACTTGTAGGTGTTATTGGGTGTATTGACGGCAGTCACATTCCCATAGTTAAGCCTAAGCTCTACCCTAATTCATATATCAATCGGAAGAAGTACCATTCAATATTGCTACAAGCAATATGTAATGAACGAATGGAGTTTATTGATTGCTACGCTGGCGAAGCTGGATCAATTCACGATGCATGCCTCTTTCGTAGATCTAAAGTGTTTAGGAAAATTTCCGATGGTAAGCGCAATCACCGACATATTTAAAGAGATTTATAGTTATAATTACGGTATATATTTCAAGGTACTATTTCCATACAACAAGACAAGCACTTACTTGGTGACCAAGGGTATGCACTGAAGTCCTACCTCTTAATACCATTTAAGGATTGCGGAAACTTAAGTTCCAGCCAAAAAAAATATAACAACGTTCATTCTTCGATAAGGGTGGTGATTGAGAGGGCGTTTGGTTTGCTGAAAGTACGATTTCGCCGATTGCAAAAGCTTAATACCAGACGCCCCGATGTAATCCCATTATTAATAATTTCCTGCTGTATTTTACACAACTTTTGTTTAAAAGAAAATGATTTCCTGAATGAGGAATTACCTTTATCGGAAATGTATCCTATTGTTCAAACATCAAATAATACAGACACAAGCGGAAATGAAAAGAGAAACGCTATTGTACGAATTTTATAAAAAATAATTTGCGAATAAATTGAAGTTTATTTAAATATGCAGTAAATTTGTCTAATCAATTGGGTATTTTTTTGTACTGAACAGATTACGAGTTTGCATTGAGTCTTTTTTGGTTAAAAACTATAAATGGCACACGTCCGTCTGAAATTATTAAATAACTGTTCTACAGTATTGAATAAAATCACATAAATTAATTATTGTAACAAGATCTTTGTCGAATCCATGTCTAAGTTTTTGTACTTACTTTAGCAATCCTTACTGCTTACTTAAGTAAGGGATGGAAATGGATTAGACAAGGATTATAGACAAGAACCACTTAACAGTAGTAACAATTTTTAAATTTTGTTATGAACAATGAAATCGGTTTTTTTTGGTTAAAAATTATTGGCTTTTAACTTTACCTAAGAGATACGAACGGAGCCGATACTTTAATTCCAAAGGAGATGGGTGGTCATGAAGCCCACCTTTAGAACGTATTGCGCTAAAAAAATGTTCCAAGCAATCTTGATTCAGTCGACCCGTAAGGATGTACTTCCGACCGTACCTATCTACCATGTAATTATGCGATTCGAGAAATTAATGCGCTGATGAGAAAACGAAAACTCGTATATCGAGACGATAAAGTGACCGGTAATCTAAAGCTTAGATGAGAAAACGGCCCTAAGTCAATGAAATTTCATGTGTGGCGTTGGCACACAGAGAGAGTATTCGCCTAACAAAACTGAGCACCCCGGTTCGAATCCCAGCTGGCTCATATTTTTATTTTTACCTTCCTCTTATTAGCTCGGGATGTAACTATGTAATATTGATGCGCCTAAAAGATGCAGCGATTTCTATTCTCAAGTTATATACCTGATGACAGTACGAATGGCAATTATAATAGGGAGGTTTTAGTTTTTTAAACTATAATTTTATTATCTTTTAAAAGTGACTAGTCCCTTTTTATATCCCTTTGAGTATAAAGGTGAACAATTAGTCTCTTCAAAGGACATGCTCGAACAAAAGCGATCAGTTCATTCCATATAAAGAGATCAAAAGTGGTATTAGTCGCATGCTCCTTTACGATTGCTCCCGGAGTCATCCCGGATTAGTCCCATTTTTTGCAGGGAATGACCAATAAGAAAGGCTAAACTCATGCGAAACCGAACTTTTATAACCCGGAGTAGGTCTGCATTTTCGTATACATTAACATACATACATACATATACAGGAATGGTATATTTCACTGAAAATTTGTTTAAGCCAAAGTACCTGCTCCTTGAACATTCAGCATTTCCCACGATAATGTTTTGGTAATTGAGAGATCCGAATTTTAGAGGGAGATCAACTCCTTTATCTCATATTTGCAAACCATTGTGTTGTTAATGAATAAACCATTGTCGACAAAATGATTTCTAAGCAGCTTTAATAGGTGGGGAACATCAGCAAAGACATATACTCGCTTATCACCATCACTTGGGTGTTGAATATACGGGCGCTCAACCGTTACACCCATCATCCTCCACAGATGCTGGTTTTCTACGCCTAAATCGCTTACTGCTGCAACCACTGTATACCCGATGGAGTATAATTCTTTTATGATGCAGTGTAGTACATCCGGAGTCATTCTACAATCGTAGTCATAGAATACAGGCTGCTTCCACCGACCACGTAAGCCTCGTACCATGCCCATTTGTATTATTTATTTTGGCCTCAGAATAATATAGTTTTTTCTGTCATAAGACCACTCCTCCCGGCATTTCACTTCATCGAATGACAATACGCATATCTTGTCTTCAAACGCCATGTCAAGTGATTTCATATGCGACATTGTTTGCAGCTGTATACCTGGTTCGACACATAATTTCGACGCCCATCTGCGCAAAGTAGATGGGGAAGGTAGCGGGAAGTTCTTTTTTCTTAAAAGTTTATAACAAAGTGGGCTAGCAGAGTATATACACGTGGAATTTGCAACGTCCTCTAAAGTATATCTGGGCGATTTGGACTGGGTACAGAGTATATTCTGCTGGTTTGCGCTAAATATCCGACTGCCAGAGGAAAAACGGTTTAGTTGCAGTTGGATGAACGCTATTTCCTCGGTTTTCCTTAAAACTTCTCTCAAGATTATTGATTTTATCTTCATTTCCATCTATCCATGCTCTGCAACAACGTATGTATGTATAAATAAATAGATAAAAACAAGGAGTCGCGGTCTCTGTATGCAAAAAACATGCCTGACATATGCCTCAACAGTCCTGATATGTATATCTTCACAAAGACTTGATGCGCTGGAAAATCGCTGTCTTAATGTCCTATCTGACCTTCTTTCAAGATATCTTTTAAGCAAAATCACATGATTGTTCAAATACAAGGCTTTTTAATATAACTCCTTCCTTTGCACCGGTAAACCATGAAATTATTATATTATATTTATTTATTTCTTTACTTAGTCTAATTTCAAAATATAGACCACGACAAAGGTTTTAAGCTTAACAAGTATAAATTAAGATACATAACAAATCTTAGTAATAAATGACCAAATTGAGCTAGCGAGAATTATTACAGAGATAACAAATAATGATAGTACGTAATGCAGGCCTTGGCAAAAAAAATCTAAATCTAAAGAACGAGAGAGCATGTTGATATCTGTTAGCGTTATTTTAATTGGTGCATTCAGACCATAAACTGTTCCATTTACACTTACATTAAATCACTGATTGATCACAGATCAGCAAAAAAGGGCGCAAATATCCTAGAGAGTAGTGATCATGGTAAGTTTTTCGCGACCAAGTCAGTATTATGTATTAGGTAAGGCCTCAACTTAACTAGTTAAAGTGACGTGATGCACTGCCTCTAATTATGTCAAACGTCCTCGTCCTGGTTAAGCTTTTAGAACACAAGGTTTCTTCTTAAGCTTTGAGCCCTCTTCCCTGCCGACCTTACCAGCCCCTACTAATGTAATGCGACTACGAGAGCCGCGGCACAAGTCTCCTTAGATTTCCGTCTGAATGCATCGATTGCCATAACCAATCATTTCATCGTCGCCGAAAGCCATGCTCTATTTACTTCACCGCTTATGAGAGCCGTTACGTATGTATAGTAGGGGTATTCTCCAAATCTTGCAAAGCCATTGCACGTAGCACGGATTGCACGGATTGCATAAATTGCAAACACACAACAAGAAAATTCATGGGAAACAACATTTCCTATCGCTGCAAAATATGCAACGTCGAAACCCATGTATATATTTTGCAAAATAGCATAGCAAGATAATAGCGACCCTGTGCTAGTTGTTTTGTTGTTGGAATTGCTACATATTTCTCTCATTCCTCTCATCTCGCTCACTTAATTTTTTTTTGCTGTCTCTTGTTATTGTATTTGATACATAATTTCGCTGCTTGCTCCCCATGCATGCTACCACTTTGCAATGGGGTGTTCTCGTACTCTTCGAAATTTGGAATAGTATTTTTGCATTTCGTGCAATCCGTGCATCGTGCAAGACTTCGAGAATACCCCTAGTGTGTTACAGTGTAATGTATTAATTCGTTGGTATCGCCATAAAAAAACTTACTCAGTTTGCGTTGAAACGCTGACGTATACTTTCCTGGCTCTTTTTCTCGATATCCCAACGAAAGGGGATTCGCTGGCGTCGTCTATACAATATTCATTGTCATCGTCCATGCCGCTTGGTTGTTGATCGCTGCAAAAGTTATGAAATATCTACATACATACTTTCAACATTCAAATTTTGTTCGTTTTTTATTGACTTACATTTCGGCTCCGGGGGTGGCACCTAGGCTTAGCAGTGCACGACCGTTCCGCGCAATCAAATCTGTACTTAAAAAATGATTGGAACACACAAATGGTTCCCTTGGCAATTGCTGCTCGCTTAATCCGCAAGCCTTCATCCACTTTTCCCGTAAATACGGCACAACAAGAAATTTGAAATGTTTTGCAGCTGCATTCTTACAGCTATTCCGCGTGTTGAAACATCCCCGAAAGCAGCAGCTCATTTCTTATTTAATTTAATTTTATTATGAATATTTTTTAATATTTTTGAAGTGATATGTTTGGTTTTGCTTAGTTTTATTTTTTTTTTTCAACGCCAAAAAGGTGTATTTTTTAATAAATTGGTAACACAAAAAATACGAAACACGTTTTCTGTCAGATAGCTAACATGGCGGATAAGAAGAAGAAGTGACACTACCTTCTAAAAATTATTGTATCATGAAAAATAAGTCTAAAAACCTTTGATTGTGTTTGTTTTCAAGACAGAAACATATTTTTGTTTACCAATCTTTAATTTTTGTTTGTACAAAAACTCATAAATTCTATTTTAAATAATCTTGTTTTCCTCTGTTTTTTGTTGATATTTATAATAAAGAATCGCCCCTGATGATGCTAAGGTAGTTAGCGAAACGTTGGGCAAAGAAGTGGAGAAAAAAGTGGTTTTCTTGCACATGGAAAAGTAGATCGACCAGCCTACAACAATACCAATATATAACAAAAACTCGATCGATATAGGTTGGAAAATAGGCTACTTTTTTTTAAGAGTTGCCATCTGTTAGAAATGTTTAATTAAATTAATACGCGGAAATGAGTGAACTGATTTGCATGGAAGTTTTCACACAGATAGCTTATGAGCTAGGTTGGAAAATGAAATACTTTTTTTAAGAGTTGCCACCTGTTAAAAAAGTTTAATTAAATTAATACGCGGAATCGTCTGAACGAATTTGCATAAAATTTTGCAAGCAGATAGCTTATGACCTACAGTGGAAAATAGGCTAATTTCTTGGAAGAGTTGCCATCTGTTAAAAAATTTTAATTAATTTAATACGCGGAAACGACTAAACAGATTTGCACGAAATTTGGCACATAGATAGCTTATGATCTTCGTTGGAAAATAGGCTACTATTTTAGGAGTTGCTACCTATTAGAAAAGTTTAATTAAATTAATACGCGGAAATGACTGAACTGATTTTCATGAGTTTGCACACAGATAGCTTATGACCTAGATTGGAAAATAGGCTACTTTTTTAGGAATTGCCAGCTGTTTGAAAATGAAATTTTGCTCACAGATGGCTTATGACCTGGATTGAAAAATAGGCTACTTCCTTAACCGGTTTCCCGATCAGAACGAAATTTGGTGCACTTACTACGGAATTCGCAAGGATGGTCTTAGACTGAAAGTGATTCCGCTAACTCAAGGCCCCTCCCATACAAATTGGAATTTTCATATTACATACATATCTCTGGAAGTATTTGTGGGAGAGAACTGGAACTTNTTTCTGGCAGCATTTTCATTCGATTTTCGCGAAGAAAAGCCTTGAATGTACTAAGTGTGCGCTCGACGTAAGTTGATACAAGTGGAGCCCAATTTAAATATGGAACGTTTGAAATGTTCATATTATCAGGAATAAGGGCGTTTTCTCCGCCCTTTATAATTCTATCAACACCCCTTATTGTCTCCAAGCCTACGTTAGCTGAGAAAACGGCTTTGAATTTTTCCAACACCAATTTGGCAAGAGGTCCCTGCGCTTCTATAAGCCGCATGGTTTGACATTTTTGGCGTCTTTAAATTAAATTTCGTTTCGTTTGTTTATAAATTATATTTTGAATAAACTGTGGTTGTGATTTAAAAAGTAAAACAAAAAATGTTTCACAATGTGGATTTGTTTTTTGAAGACGAGGATGTTCCGGAGAGAAGTGCAAACTTACTTCGGGAGCGGCGCTTCATCAGGGACCACTACAATCCTATTGAATTGCCTTCCGTAGTGTAAGTTATCTTTTGAAATAACTCATTACCGTTAAAGTGCTTGTACAATGATCACCATAAAAATTGTATAATCAGATTTGTAATGAACTTCCGGTTGAGTAAAGATGCTTTCATGTACCTGCTGGACAACCTAATAGATACATTTTCCAATCGCCTTTCTTCATCCGTAACGCCAATGTTGAAATTGTGCTGCGCACTAAAGTTTTTTGCTCATGGGAGTTATGAACAAACTGTGGGCAAGGATTTTCAGTTAGGTCTTGCGCAGCCCACAGTTTCATTGACTTTGAAAGAGATGCTCCCAATCATGGAAGCAAAACTTTGCAATGCATTGATTAAAACTCACATGACAGAAGCGGAAAAGCAACAGGCGAGAAGAAAATTTTATACACAAACAGGAATTCCTAATGTAATTGGTTGCATTGATGGAACCCATATTGGAATTATTGCCCCCAATGATTGTAAGTACTTAACAAGCATGTGCATTAACTGTATTTTGTTGTAACACAAATTATTCATTTATTAAAATTAATTAGGCTTGTGACCATGACATGTTAATACGGTTTGTTGACGCACCGTATGCCGGGTCTACCCACCACGATTCGTTTGTGTGGAATAGCAGCTCTTTAAAGAGGTATTTGGAAAATACGTATAAAAGAGGAGCAAAAAATTCTGCTTATTTAGGTATTCATGTATACACTTGTGGTCAGCTGATTAAGTCAAGTGACCTTTTGACTAGTTTTGGCTATTTTTTCTTTTGTTTGTTTAATGTTAATTTTTTTTTATAAAAGTTTAGCACTTTACCTACCAGCGCCACACAAATCCATATTTTAACAATTGCACCCAAAAATTTTAGACTTCTTATTTAGATCTTTTATAAAAATTTTGGGTGTGCGGTTTTATAGCTCATTAAATTTTAATAAATATTTAAAATTGTTTTTTGCTGATGGTGCTAGACATTTTTTCCCACACAAACGAAATTATCGAGCATACTTTATTATATGCAAGAAAATGCATAACGTCAGCAAAAAAAAATTATTAAAAATCAACGCGATTTTTTAGCGTCTTGAAATGGGCACTTTAACCTTTTAAAATTCAATGTCCTATAAAACCGCATACCCAAAATTTTTCTAAAATTCTAATTAAAAAGTTTAAAATTTTTGCATGCAATTGTTAAGGTTTGCTGAATTTTCATAATTTTTATACGAAGTTTGAAATGTGGATTTATGTGGCCAGGGTAAAGGGCTAGGCTTTTATAAAAAAAATATGAAGATTAATTTAACAAAAAAAAAACTAGTCAAAATGTCACTTGACTTAGTCAGCTGACCATAGGGTATGTATGTATGTACATAAGTATGTATAACAACGAAATGTTCTTTAGGTGATTCCAGATACCCGCTACACGAGTACTTGTTGACACTGTTTCGAACCGCTTTACCAGGAACAATACAGGCAACTTTTAACAAAAAACATTCAAAAGCTAGAAATGTTGTGGAGAGGACAATTGACGCGTTGAAGTGTCGGTTCCGATCAGGGTGTCCAGATTGTTTAAAAAAAATCGCAATTTCTAAAAAAAAATCGCCAAAAATTGGCAATTTTTTTTTAATAACATTCATGAAATCGATTTAACAAATCTTTTATTTTAAAATTGAGATCTTGTTATAATATAGTTCTTAAAACCAAAAACGAATATAACACCTTCAGAGGGTAATAATAAATAACACAACACCTATGTAATGGTGATGTACAAACAATTTTCTTTAAAAATACTCATAATTTTAAAAAATATTTGTTTCATCACATTTTGCAATAGGACTGTGCAACTATTAAATTTTTTATTACTCATATTAGTTGATTAATCGCACATTCCGCTTTTAAGAGCTCGGCGCTAAAAATTAAATAAAAACCTTTAATGAGCCGAGATCAGCTATTTCCACAATTTCTTCAAAATCACCTATAGTGTCTGAATCATTTACATTTCTGTTGTTGTCATATATTGAGCTATTCAACCTTGATGACATACTGTTTGATATTGGAACCGTTTTGCAGCAGAAACTATTAGCCTTCATATAACACTTTAATCGAACTATTGAATTAAGGCTTTCCAACCTCATCGTATTTCGAATCTTAGATTTTTTTGAATTCATTACGGAAAAAACGCGCTCAACAAAAGCATAATAAAGGATAATAATATGAATTTACTTATATTTCCCAACATTTTTTTGCCTGTTGCGGTTTTCACTCCGTAAGCAATTATCTAAAATTATTCAAAATCGGATGGATTGGTTCTGAGAGAAGTTATTCCATGGGAAAGTTAAGAGATTTAAACTGCTTTTCTTTCCTTTAAAATCAAATAGCGAATTTGCAGGTCCCTGAAACTCGCCCTCTTGTGATTCACACACTTTTCTGGAAACAAAACCAAAGCTTTTTTAAAAGTATTTAATTGACTAGGTAATCGTTTCAAAAGTTTTTTGAAAATGCTCTGTAAAATTATCATGGAAAACTAAGTTTTGTATATTTTTATAAATGGAAAATATTTATTTGAAGGGGGAAAACCGCAAAAAATCGCCAGTGGCGATTTCCTAAATTTTTACGCGCAAATATCCAAGGAAAATCGCCAAATTGGCGCAAAATTGCCAAATCTGGACACTCTGCTTTAAAATGTTAATTTATATTATGCTTGCCACACTTTCATAAAAAATTATACAGTAAATAAACAAAAGACGCGAATCGTTGAAGTTCGGTTCGATTCGGTTTCGGCATTAATAAATAATACTGGGTTCTCTAATAAAAACTAACCTTCAATTATAAAAATTATATTTGTGTGTTTTAATGACTGTTGTTTATTTTTGATATTTAAGTTTTTTTAGTTCTAATTCCTTCAATTTGATCGCAACATTTTCGTTATGTCGCCTGTTTTTATTTAAATTCTCTTTTGTTTTTCTCTCTCCCTTCAGTTTCAATAATTTAATTTTTTCTTTTCCCAGTTCATAAATTTTTCTTGCGTAACGTGAAAGGTCATATATTTTTAGCCGACTTCCAAAAAAGGAACTGATAACCTCCAGTTCGTCGGAATATTTTATTTATTTTTTTATGTATGTTACCGCATAACTTTGGACCACGTCAACCGATTTCAATAATTCTTTTTGCATCGGAAAGGTAGTGTCTCAGAGATGGTCCCATACTAATCTGGTTAAGATCCGATCAGTGGATCAGGAGATATATATATATATTTTTTTATATGAGAGTTGAAGTCGGTTTTTTTTGCTAAAAATTACTTGTTCTTTCTATTTTTTCCATTGTTTTTAAAAACCTGTCTTGCACCTCTGCCTGCTTTTCTAAAGCCTTCATACGCATATTTTTTCATTCCTCTGTAGCAGTCGTTTGTCTTCGTCTGCACGGCGTCCGCGTTACGTCCAGATTTTGAGGTGTCGGGTTGCCCTGTGCTTGGTCGTCCTGTGTGTGGTCGTCCAGTGGGCCCGCCTGTGCATCGTCCTCTTGATCAAATAAATTTGGCCCAAAAGCAACACCTGTTGGATTGACTGCCTGCTGCAAGCTTAGAAGCTCATCGACCGTCTGCCCCAAAGGCGTCAGACTTCGTTGTGATTGGGTCCTCCACCTGTGGCAACAGTCTCACGGGGATTTGCGGCTAATTTTTTTAACTTTAGTTTATAGTCCAGCCAAACCTAAGTAAATTATATAAAAGGAATTTAATAAATTTAAAAATCCAATTAAATTAATTTCTTACCTTGTTCCATTACGCGTTGGTGTGCCGATATTATTTAATTCTAGCGCGATACCCTCCCACAGCTCATTTCTGTTATTTTTTGTTGACCCAAAATTACCCATGCCTTTGGCAAGGTCTGGATTTTGCTCCATTAACTTAATGAGCACTTCGAACTGTCTGCGAGATGTTCTTTTTACTCTGGAATATAAATTAGTTAACAAAATGATATAATTTAACTAAAACATAAACAATACTAACGTGCTTTCCATTTTCGATTTCCGTTTGCGAATGAAAAAAAGCGTTAGACAAATTTTGACAGTTTTGTCGAATCTAATATTATTAAATCACAAGTTGAAATATCACAAATTCATTTTCGAGTGCTCTTTCGCGATCTACGGGCGAATTTACTGTGCATTCGCTACTTGTAATTCGAAACTGCTTGATTCGCCTAGAATTTCATTCGCTTCGCTAACGGCAATGCCAGCCTTAAGCTCTGTTGCAGAAAATTGTGATATTTTTATTAAATAAATGAATTTGAACATAAGCCGTCATCGATTCGCCATCAGTTAGTAAGTGGCGAAACGAACGAACTCAATGAGGTACAACCAAACTTGCTATCGTCTATCCGTGCTAGCTAACATTGTTGTTGCTTTCATATGCAAAATTTTTCGTTAAGCGACCGGAACTCAAACATAGCAAGCAGCGAAGTGGCGAATCCATGACGGCTATAGTAACAAAACTTTAAGTCCAGTACTTTTTTGCAAATCTGACACTTTTTATAATTCTACCAAGTTAAAAACTTTTCTTCATACTAACCCAGACCAAGCATTATATTACACCAATTGTAATATTACACCCAATAGCTTTAATATAATATATGTATATACGATTTCCAAGCATTGGCAAAGAAAATCTCAAATTTTTACTTCGTAAGATTTGCATGATTACTGTTAGTTTCATAGAAAACTATCCAATAAATAAACAGTTGTTACTTTAAAAAAAACAAATTTCAAGTCCTAGCACTGGTCACTCATACAGCCCAATTCTTCATACTCCCGGGTAGTTTATTCCCCAGAAAGGATTCCTCCAATAATTAATTCCCAGGGTGTAGCATTTCCCCCGAGAACTTGGCAGGAGGAAATTCGAAAAAAGCTGTTTGACAATTTTTTGAGAGCTCAACTCCGCCATTTAATGTAAAAACTTCTCAGGGAATTTTTATTCGGATAAGAGAAATGAGAGAAAGGGAGTTTCTGCTCAGAATCGGCCTGATAATGTCTGTGCTCGTACGTAGCGCAGAAGCATGGGCAATAAAACAGCTTATGAGGTGCGTCTTGCAATTATCAAGAGATCCTGCGGGAAAAAGATTCACTTGAGTTCATCCCTGTTAGCTTAACGAAAAACGTGTATGTGAAAACAACGAAAGAGTTAGTTAGCAGCGATGAACGTTGGCGAGTTTGGTTGTATCCCATTAAGTTCATTCGTTTAGCCACTCGTTAAGTTTTGGCAAAACTAAAAGCTCAGTTAGTATAGACTTAATTTTACTTAACTTGCCGTAAGAAATCATCAATGATTACTCAACAAGTCAACTTAAGCCAGAAGAGAAAATATTTTGTTTTTGTATTTTCGTTTTGAGTTCTTTAACAGTTTGGCGTCTAAAATGCCACATCAAAAAAAAACTTGTAAAAAAATATGTTTGCGTTCATTTATTTTTGAGAAATACAAAAACGAAAATCTGGAAAGTTGATTCTCTCATCGCTCTCAATTTCGGTAAGACCGTAACTTAAATATCTAAAATCTACAGATTCTTAAGTTGCTAACGTTAAGTTAAGTTTTAACTAACCGCCAACACAGTTTCTCATATAACAGGTTGGCCAAATTCTTAAGTTAAGTTAAGTTATGGAAATTAAGTCTAGACTAACTGAGCTTTAAGGTGGCTTATATTAAGCTAGGATTTGTGTATGTTGTTTTAGGAGCATTTATGAAAATGAATTTACTTACATACATACATAGTTCCGTCTCAGCAAACTAAACAGAAAACATAAAGGAAGTGATTTAATTATGGATGATCTAGTAGAGATATTATACAGAAAATGTCATTTACAAAATGGATGCATATGAATGTGCATGCATACTCATACATAAATATGTATGCAGAAAATTTGGCATCCTAATATTTTACTATATCAGAACTTCACGGTTATTTCGTACACTGCCGTATAAGCTGAACATGTTTGCTCTATTCGGTGTACATACGTATGTTTGTAGTATCTACATAGTACATTCCCTAAAAGTCATGCATAAACATAACAAAGAAGATTCGTAAGTTGTAAAAGCTGTTGAACTAACCATAAATTCCATAACCATCCTCGCTATACGACTTTGTTTGTTTAGTTCCTACCAATCGCTCAAATCATGCTCGTGCGTAGGCAGACAGTCAAGTATTTGCGCTGTGCCAAGTGGCAGTGACGTCCGCCACATCATAGCGCCTCCACTAATACAAAGGCAATACAACGTTAGCAACCCGCACCCCTCGATATTTTTAAATGCTTACATTACGTTCTCACGCATATGCGTGTGAATGTACATTGCTTAGCGTTTCGATACCCACCGCACCTTCCTTCGAATGAATAATAATAAACAACTAACGAACACCCGAACTAAGAACCGACGAATAAGCAAACGAACGAGCGAACGAACCCAAGCATGGTGTAAATCGACAAACTGCTTGACAAGTTTATTGTATGTTTCTCCGTTGTTGAAGATTTTAAGGCATAGCGAAGTGATTACCATCCGTTCCTTCATTCTACGTTATTCTATGCGTCTAGAAAATGTCAAAAGCGAAATGCATAGTGGAAAGATAATACAAACTGTATTATGCCAGAGAGAGTATCTGCAGTAGCTGTGTACGTCGGCGTCGCTGCAGATGCTCAGTCGCTGCTTGAAGCTGACAGTAACAGCGAAGTTAACGTCAACTGAACGATGTGTAAGCACGATCGGATACACACAACTTTACAAACATCCATACATGCATAGTAAACTGCCATGCAGAGTGAAATATTTAGTTACGATTAAATTTCTTGAAAGCAGCAGAGAAAGTAGTCTCAATGATAATTAAATACGCACATAAT